GCGGGGCCGCGAGGGCAGCGGGGCTGGTGGGCTAAAACACGCGAATTGTGGGTGCTAAAGCAGTTGCTGGGGGAGGCGTGAGTAGAGATAAGCCGCCTTTTTGTATATGTCTTTAAAAGTGGTGCACTCCCTGCTCAGCCTGACCGCTGCCGAGCCGTAGGGAAGGGGCTGTCACCCCAAACGCCCCTCGGGGGATTTGTGCGCAGCCGGCGCCGCCCTGGGCGCTCGCCCCGGGCAGACCTGGGGCGACGTTTAGTCCCTTTGAGCCTCAGAACGGCCAGGGGAGCTCCCAAATGAGCAGCAGGTTTGTGCTTGGTGGTGTGCACAAAATTTGGCCATGTGTGTAAACAGAGTCTGTGCAAGCTGACCTGCTGCATGCATGCATTGGAAAATATGCCTTTTTTTTTCTCCTTGTGACATTGGATCTATGATTTGACCTGGGCTTACCTAAATAGGAGGCTTACTGATAAAGGAATACCACTGTTTATTTCTCTGGTTTTGGAAAAACTTCTGGTGTAAAATGAGAGACTTCTGGAAAGGACACATTTATTAATGATTTCTTGGTGTATGTTGCAGGAGCAGGATGTATACTCTGTTGTCTGGGCTCTATAAATACATGTTCCAGAGGGATGAGTACTGCGTTTTGATCCTTGGTTTGGACAATGCTGGTAAAACAGTAAGTACCCTTAATTACCAGTCATGTGGAGGGCACCTGCAGTTCTGAATATTCTTATTTTCCAAAAACAAAACTTCCAAGAGGCAGGTCTGTCGAGCTCTTAACAGGATATTTTAGTGATATTACCTGCAAGAATCAACTCCCCCCCATATTTAAATTTAGCATAAGCTTTCAGGGATATAGCTGAGACTCTGGTAATCTCATAATCACCTTGGATCCCTTCTTCCTTTGCTGAAGTAGGGAACAAGAGGAATGGTTTGTTCTAAGGTTAGCCAGGGCACTAGCTATTGGAACAGGATCCTGCCATGAGGAAAAAGCAGGTTTTAGTCAGGATTACCCAGGCTGGTACGATGTCTGGGAGTAGTTATTTTTTCCTTTTCCTTTTCAGACCTTCCTTGAACAAACTAAAACTCGATTTACCAAGAACTACAAAGGGATGAGTTTGTCCAAAATCACAACCACTGTAGGTTTAAACAGTAAGTAATTCCTCGTGGAATTTTTTCTACCTCTCCTGCAAAGTTAGAGAAATTTCTACCCTGAATATTTAAGAAGAATTAACAAGGGGAAAATGGTTCCTGTAAATAGAGGTCTTTTCTCCTACCTCGGTACCTACTTTTTGTAATAGAATAAATTCACTCAGCCTTTGAAGAAGAAAAGAACAAACTCTCAAGAATTGCATCCCATTTCAGTGCTATGCTGAGTAGTTAAGATAAATTTCATTTGAATTTGCTGGCCTGATCCTCATTTATATTGATGTGAGTCCACTTGTTGTTATTTGCCACTATTTTCTAAGGTATTTTTCTTTTGTTAAAAGTAGCACTGAATGTGACTTGCTCCTGTAGAAGGCTGTCCCCTACCTGCTTAGGGGCCTTGTGCATGTGCCATGTTTGGAACACATGGACAATTCTCATTGGATTGGATTTTTCTTCTTTCCCTCCAGTTGGTACTATTGATGTTGGCAAAACTCGCCTGATGTTCTGGGATCTTGGAGGACAGGAGGAGCTACAGTCTCTTTGGGACAAGGTTGGGGAAGTACTTTTTCTTATAATTCTTTCAGAATGGGAGAAATACAATTATTTAGTACTACAGACTTGCTGGTAACCCAAATATTTAGCATGAACACTTTTCCAGAATTTCAGTTTTATCTGCAGGGTTTGCAAAGATGATGTTTAATGTTTGCATTGTCGTTTACAGAAACTAATTATCAACCTCTGTGTGAGGACTGTGCAAGTATTATCACTTGTAACAAATGAGGTCATATCAGTGGTAATATCCTTACCCAAAGTCACAGAGAGACCTGAAAAGAAATCTTGGATAGTTCATGTAAAAGCTACAGTCTAGTTCTAAATAAAATGAAATATGATTTGAAGTTCTCTAAGCCTACTGTCTGGACAGCATTTAATGTAGCTAAAAAACAAAGTGTTGTTGGAAGTCCTGAGCACGATACACAGCATCCAGATGTCTGGCAAAGAATATTAGAGCAGTACATTTGCAGGCCAAGCAGACATTCCACATGCACCCTTGACTTCAATATTTCATCAAGACTTGCATT